GAGTTGAATTGGATATTGGATTCTTATAGCAATCTGGGTTCGTGGGCGGATTTGAGAATCGAATTTGATAGTGGACTTGTATAGCTAGAATTGAGTTAAAAGGCGCTAGAGATTTGAAAAAAATAGTGATTCATATAGCAAACTGGGTTCGTAGGCGGGTTTGGAGGTCTATTTGGGTATACTTAAAATCTGTCCCAGTACCCCCAATATTGCCTATATCTTTTTAATGAACGCCAAATAATATTTAAAGATATATTAATGTTTTCATTAGAAATTAATTTTTTTTGGATTTGAATAGCATTAGAGCATTTATTCAACTTTGTAAGTTTTGTAATATTTCTATTATAATGTTTTGTAAGAATTCTAAGGCAGTCTAATTTTGGAATAACATCAAGATTACCAGTTTCTTCTTTTTTTTGATTTTTATTATAAAGAAATGACTAATATTTTTATGAAAAATGATTAAATAACTTGAATATCCCTTCTAAAGAAGGGTAATAATATGTTTCCTTTGATAATGTGATATCACCTTCATTATAAAGCAAAAAAATTCTATGGAAAAGTAATACAATGTGATTACAAATTAGGTTTATTTATATTTATTAAAATGCATTTTACAAGCATTGGTTGATCATTTTTAATTTTAGTATCATAAATATTCTTCTACAAAAAAAATATATAACTTAAAGCTTTGTAAAAAACCATATCTAAAAAATAATTATTTAATTATAATTATTTTTATTTTATTTTAATTTTTTATAAATTATTTTTTATTAATAAATCAATTTTATTTAATATATTTAATTAACTTATTAATTTATAATATAAAAATTTTATATAAATCCAATTCTTATTATATTAATAAATTCTTATAATGCAAATAATTTTAATTTAAACATTTTATATATAATTTTTACATTAATTTTTTCAATATAAAAGTATAATAAAATATTAATAAGATTTTAAAAAGATATGAAATGATTTAAATTATAAGATTTTTTTGATTATAATACTATGTCAATAATTAAACTGTTTTTTTTTATAAATATCTTATATTTTGATATTATTAATAGTTTTAATAAATGATGATAGTAAACTTATTAAACATTAATGCTATTAAGAAATTATAAAAATAATCTCTAAATTTTATCACATTTTTTTTTTAATCTCTAAAATTTTTATCTTTTTTTATTCTCTAATATATAATAAATAATGAAATTTTCTAAGGATGTGATATTATGTTATATATATATTGATTACAACCAAAGAATATACATACATAAATTCTAAACAATAATTAAAAATAAATTACATAAAATTGTTTATATTTATATTTATATATGCATGTATATCTTTCGTTTTTTTATTTTAGTTCACCAAAACAATTTTTTTAAAAAAAATATCCTCTTTTCCGTAAAAAAAAGGTCTATAAATTAGTCTATCTGAATAAATTTATTTATTTATTTATATATTTTAATTGTTAACAAACGTCATATGCAAAACAATTAACTTTATAGGAAACCAGATTCTTGCAATAAACGAGCAATTTTTTCATCCTCGCGTTCCCTAAAATATTTTTAATATTAACATCAAAACTTTTCCCAAAATAGTATACCAGAAATAATAAATATCATTAATTACCTTGGTTCCATACTAAGACTTTGATCGTACAGATCTCCAACATCTCGACTATCCTGCAGATGACACTGTATAAACATTTGTATTTCTTGTACTGAATTGAGGTTATAAGGCACCGATTGATATTGCTTAATTTCACGTATTACTTCTGCTGTTTTCATGCGTTTCGAGAAATTAATCAATGGTCGGGCTTTTTTAAGAGTGTTGGGGTTACCATCTTCAATAAACGTAAGATCAGTCAAATATACACCTAAGAAAATAAAAAAAAATTTAATTTTTGTTTTTAAAACCACTTTTTTTTTAAAAAAAAAAAAAAAAAGGGGGAGGATTACCCAAGAACGGTACACATGGTGGGTTTACACTATGTAACATCTCCCGATATCCGGCGAAATTCTTCGTAGAATTCATAATCTTATTAAGGATTTCAAGTGTCGCTATGGTTTTTGCATTAACCAATTCCCATGTGCGTTTCAGACGATGAATTGGTGCGGAATTTAATCCAGAAATAATAGCGGTGAGTGAATTGAAATTATTCAAAAATTTACATTTATCGGCTACTGCTACGAATTGTTTAATATATAAGCATCTCCTTTTAACCTCTGATTGATTTAAAACCGATTCTGCTACCCAACCCGTTATCTAATTTTTTAATGAAGAGCATAATAATAAATATCATTAATTCATTGATCGATTAATATGTCTATTTATACGAAAGGAAGACGAATGCTTACCTGATTACTGTTAACGATCATGGCTTTAATATTTACTGCGATATTATCTTCACCTTCTTTACTCCAAGCCTTATTCAGACACTCAACAGGCTTGATCTTGTTGTACAATTTACTCTCTATTAAAGTCAACTGTCTAGCAATTTCCAAAGGATCTAGATCTAAGAATTTGAGTTTCTTAATATTCTTGGGTAAAATTGGTGCTGGTGGCCTGTCAGAATTTGTTATTATCATCTCTTTAAATTTAGCATGTTGAAGCTATAATTTAAAAGAAAAAATATAAATATCACGTATAAAAATCATTGAAAAATCATCATAATCATTACATATATATATAAAGAATACTTGCCCTTTTATCGGCTAACTTCATTAAATTTCTCGAAGCAAATGACATATGTTCATTCATTGTTGTGCTCGCAAATTCTCTCATTCTTTCTAAACAAGGTGCATCCTCATCATCCATATAGTAATATTCTAGCCAAGTCTTCATAATGTTAAAAACTCTCAATCTAATAGGAGTTTGTTTCTTTTCTTGCCAAACTTCTAATTCTTCTCGAGTTAAGCTATCAGGAGGTTGAATCATGAATCTTTTAAACAACCTGTCATACAATTCATCAGTTGTACAGAAAGATCTATATGTCAACAAAAATGTAGCGATAAAATTTGAATCTAAAGAATCATGTAACGTTAATCTTTCCACAAGAGCGTCAAGAGTTCCTCCTTTTACATAACTTTCCATATTAAATAGTATTTCGGAAGAATCATAATCATAACAAAGGAACCAAGGTTTATCATCTCTTTCTTTTTGCTTAGGAATATTTTCACCGAAAAATCTTGAAACCTTATGTTCATTACGTGGTGATTTAGTCCCTTCATCCAATGGAGAGGATAAAAATTCAGCAGTCGAAGATGAAGCAACAGCAGGTTGAACGGGGGATTGCTGTGAAGGAGAAGGAGGAGGAAGAGGAGGCGATTGGGATGATGCAGCATCGTTCCAAGTAACGGAAGAGATCACACTATTCGAACGAGGACGATTGTTGCTTGTAATTGATTCTCCACTGGCCGATATCGGCGACATTGGGGTATCATTATCATAAGAAACTACGTTACCAACAACTGTTGAATCACCATCAGTAGTCATAACATCATTCTCAGGAACAGTTTCTAAACCTGTCATTGAGTAGGGAATCGGAGGAGATGTGCTAGGAGTCATAGATTGATCATCTTCTGTTATATCAATTGAATTTCTTTCAACGATTTGATCAAGAGAGTTAGAAGTTATAGTAGGTCGTCTTGGACGGGATTTCATCTGCTCTCGAGAATCATTTTCTTCCACGAGGAATTTTATAGCGATAATAACATCTTTTGCTGCTTTATCCACTATATTTGTAGTAGTTAAAACTTTGTCCAAAGCATTTAATGGAGCTAATGGATCAGCTATTGACTGAGTGCAAATAACTAACACTGCTATGTTATTATATAATGCTTGTTTGGCTATTTTAAATTCATTAATTGTATTTGAACCAGACTCACTCATATCCTCTAAATTTATATCTTCAATCAGAGATAAGAATTGTCCAACTTGTGTGGCAACTTGTCTCGTTTGTGAAACAAGTTGGGAGGTAAAAGGGACACTTGTATTGGACATTATAGATTGAGGAGAATCGATCACTTTTTTAATATGATTGACAAGCAATATAATAGCTTGATTTACAGTACGAAAACTTTGTTCCAGTAAAGTATTAAGTTCTAAAGATAGAGAATGTGATGGACTGGAAAGAGTTGTAGGGGAATTTTGAGGGCTATTATTATTATTATTATTATTATTTTCTTGAGAATTTAAACTTGATGAAATTGAAGGAGGTTTTGGGATTCTACCGTTCGTTCCATTAATCCCGTTTGTATTTACTTTAAACAAATTATTACCACGCCAAGAACCACCCGTAACATTTTCAAGGATTTTTGGATCAACTCTTTTAATAACTACAAGAGGTTTAGCGGTTTCAACAAATTTCTGAACGGCGACTAATACTTCATGAACGTCATTCTTCATTTTTTGAGCAGCATCCGATGGAGGCCATACACTTGAAGCCACTCTTGTTGAAAGGACTAATTTTGATAGTGAAGCCATTATATGTCTATGAAAAACTTTTAGATTAATATTTTGCCTTATCGCAGGAGAATCTTTTTCAATAGCACCAGATGCATAAAGCATAATTCTAATACTTTCAACGATGAGATTGGTACAATCTGGGTAATTTTGCTTCATATTCTCTTTGGTTGCCAAATTAAGATGATCAATAGCCAAGATGATACTCCGTAATAAAGAATCCCATGTTAGTTGTTCATTAGCATATTGTAGCATGAGAATTGAGGATTCCGAAATATTTTGTAATGGATGAGGTATTGTTTCAGTGGGTATTGGAGGTAATTGTTCACGTGAAAGTCTATTTGCTATTTCACTTCCATTAGATATGGATTCATTGTCAAATGGTTTTCCTTGTCGGGATCTTTGCTGAATCGTACCATTTGTGGTAGAACTTATTTGACTGTCATGTGAACTTGCGATACTTGCTTTATCATCATTTTCATCAATATCAGAATTACTGGAAGCGGTAGTAGTAACACCTTCAGGAAAAGTCCATCTAACCTCCTTAGTTATGATATTAAGATAATAAAACGTCTTTCCATTTTCTGTTGGTTTTCGTATCCAATTTTCTGGTAATTGTTTTAAACTATCATTACTACTTATTGTGTCTCTGTTTATCGTTGTAAAGGATTCACTATCATCTGCTGGTAACTCCCATGACGATTCACCTGTTCTTGTATTATAATAAAAGATATCCCCATCTGGGGTTTGTTGAGGAATCCAATCCCCTAACTAAAATTTTTTTTTAAAAGGAAAAGAATATTTACATATTTGTATATAAATACATGTTTTATTCATTAAGTATCCTTTTTTCTTTTTTTTAAAAAAAAAAAAAATAAAATAAAATATAAAAAGAAAAAATATCCTACCTTATCTTCATCTTCCAACATATCATCCTCTTCATAAGTAGTAACATAGTTACTTGGAAACCAACCACGTTCGCCATTACACACTCCATCCCACCAACCCGATTCCAGTTGGGTGAACACTTGTATGATATCATTTCTTTTGAAAGATAAATTAGTTTCATTCGAATCAAAATCATATAATGCCTTTACTAATAGAGTTGATGAATGCATTTTTATTACAAATTCATAAAGGTAGTGGGTATGAAAAGTTGATAAAGATGCAAAATAAATAATGTGTAAAAAGTGTTTTATTTAAAAAGAAAGATTAAAGTTTCATGATTAAAAATAGTTAAATAAATAAATAAATGAATAAATAAAAATGTTTTTAAAGATTATTTTTTTTTGTTTTGAGAAGTGAATTCTTAATGAGGAATGTGAAAAAAAAAATAATAAAGCAAACGTATCGTATATTTTAAAGAAAAAGAAAAAAAATATATAATATATAATTATGTAGAACAAATATTTATGCTGTATATTATTGATCGGCTGTCATACCATGCCATGCTGTTCCCCAGAATCTTAATTCTGATAAAGATTTCAAGATTCGGAAATTTCTTATTGGGACATTTCCCAAAAAAAAAAAAAACGAAGAAATATTCTTTCTTTTTATTTTTATAAAACGAGAGATAATTCCATAATAAGATAATTTCGCAGTCAAATGTAATTTGATATAATTTGATATAAAAGGATCAAATCATTATATTAATTCGATTATCGATTATGATACGATGCTGTTCTGTTTACAAAACATCAACTTTAATTATCAAATTTTCCTTTGAAAAAAGGTACAATTACGGAAGTCTTCTAGTTATGGATAAATCCAAAGGAAAAATGTAATTCCAAAAGATTGCCAATAAATAGATCGATCATGTGAATCATTCTGTTTTGGAACAAAATGACTTTTTCTCAATCTCTAAAGAATCTATAATTTATTTATTTTATTTTATTTATCGTCGTCCAATAATTCAATTAAAAAAATCAACACAATGAACTTTTTTTTTCTATTAAATAAATATCTCATCCTTTTATTTGTGAAGTGAAAGATCTGAATGGATGAATTTTTTTTCATTTAAGATCTGCAAAAAAAAAACCGTGTTTTTTTTTTTAATTTCTCAATTTTTTTAGGAAAATACAAGATTAATATTATTTAAATAATACATAAAGATAGTGTACAAGTAATATAATTATATATATTATAAAAAAAAAAACAAATTAAATTATATAATTTTTCTTTTATGCTTTTCCTTGTGGGTTAACTTCTTTTGGTTTTTTAAAGAACATTCTCCAAACAAAAAACACAGCAGCGGAACCAAGTACCAAACCAGATACAATACCAATTGGAACAGCCAATTTCTTTATTTGGCTTCCATTATAATCAGTTGCAGAAGCTCCACCAATGATTTCGGGATCATCAGGATTTCCCGTTTTTAAAGGCTGACCTTCTCCCAAAGTAGTATAGGCTGGCTTGGCACCTTCTATATTTTTAGTTTTTGAAGGTGGACCATAACCTTCGGGTGGCCAAACATAATCATCTGGACTTGGTGTATTACACTTTATGCTAATAGAATCCACGTACATGGTGTAAACTTTATTTTCAACTGACCAATCAGTTGGGCCACCTGCCCAATCGGCGGTACCCTGTTGACCCATTCCACCATCCCAAATTGAAAAAGAAACTCTTGAATCAACGGACGGATATTTATATACTTTAGCGGCTTCATCCCAAGTTGATTCTTTTGTAACGGTTCGAAGACTTTTACCATCAACCATCCAAGTAAGTGTGTCAGGTAACCATTCGATGGTATAATTATGATATTCGGTAGTTGTATCAACTCCGACTTGATGATGAGCACCTTTTGTATAATCCAAAGTACCATTCCAATAAAAATTGGATTGAACTTCAGTTGGGTCAAGTCCGACCCATTCATAATCAATTTCATCACCAATAGAATTGATCGTGTTATTTGATACCACCAATGATGTAACTACTCCCTTGGAAGTTGACGCGGTCTTAATACGAGCCGTAACGGTTCCGTATAACATAAAGAACGTGGTACTAACCGTAGCACCAAAACCTTGATAATTTCCTTGTTCATTTTTCTTTGTTTTATCCAATTTTAAATCCATTGCTAAATTGCCATTTTCATAACGAGCATAATCTGGTGTAAAGTCCGATGTCCAATCTGCTGATTTGGGGTTCCCATCGAAGTCATTAGCATTCACTAATCTATTATTTGAGAAATCATCTTCTAAATTTCTGCATGGTGGTCTCGGATAACACGATTTATCATTGAAAGAATTTTGGGGTTCGCATCCTATATGGAGAATTCAATTATTGGTTAAAAAAATGCAACTCGTATCACGTGACTATTGTTCGATTAATTTGGTAATTAATTTAAGACTGACTGTCATCCATGTTTGGAATTTCAAACTTTTTGACAGGTAAATCATTTATTTTTAAATAAGTAACTCACCAGTTGAACAAAATTTTGGGTCGTTGGAACACCAGCCTTTGTTACAGCATGGAGCTTCTTCGGGGCACGTCTTTCCGAAATTTTTACAGAAGGCCTCAACATCCAATGTCAAATGAATTAAGGATACGAAAAACAATATTGTCTTAAAGAAAAAAAAATTTTTTTATTAGAATCATTTCAATTACGATTACATTTCAATTATGATAGTTTTTTAAATTTACCTTGAATGACTTCATGTTTTTTTTATAATTAAAGAAATAAAATACAGTGGTCTAAGTATGAAAGGAAAGTAAACGATAAAAGGGGAAGGGGAATAATTTTTCTAGTTTATTAGATGCGTTAAGAGGATATTATAATACACAAAATTAAAGAGTGCTGAACTATTAAAGGTAGAGAAAGTTTTAAGGTAAAAGTTTATATTATTTGTGGATAGAAGGGGAGGGAAGGGTGTGGTGAGGAGGAATGAAGGCGAAAACGGATAGGGAGTGGGAGAATAATGAAGGTTAGGTATAAAAAATAACCTCTCACTCTTTTTTGAAAAGGTTGTGGGGATGGCCTCATATTTATTAATTTGCACCAAAAAAAATTAGTGTAAATTGAATTCAATTCGATCAAAACTAATTAGGAAAATTAGTCCTTGTGGTATAACTTGGAGGCAGTGTGACCAGTGTATCATATAGAGTAATGCGAATTGTAGGCTAAGGAGAGAGAGCTTTTGTAACGGTAGGCTTTTTAAAGATTTCCATTACGATTGCTAAATTTATCGAGAAATCTTCTAAACCGACTTTGTGCACCATATTTATATAAGAAAAAGTGGATAATAAATTTGGTTTTAAATTGTCTTGTAGGTTTTAAAGTTTAGAGAGAAGTAATAATCCCTTATAAAATGATTTTCATCGCGTTCCACACAAAATTATGCAAGAGTAATATGCGAGATTATGGACTCATGCTTACTCGAGTATAAAATAATGTTGTGTTGTATTAAGTTTAATTTTTCTTTTAAGGCTAACTTGCTTTTGGCCATACTTTTATTATCTTTTAATACCCAAATGTTTGTTTGTTTACCTGTGCGCCGGTAAATAGCGGAAAGTTGCATTTAATGTATTTATTAATATATGATTGGTAGCAACATTTTATTACATACATTACTTAGTTTCAATTCTCGTCATTCAATTTGGAAGGAAAAAGCATTTCATAATTTTGGCCAGCATCATGATTAAGTAATCAAATTATTTTAAAAATATTCAACGAATAATATTATTTATTTATATCGATGTTGCATTTACAAAAAATCAAGATTAAATAGGTTAAATGATTTAATGACGCGTAAATTATTGATGAAATGGTATATCGGTATTTATTCAAAAGGTAAAAACGTGCTAATCGCGTAAACTTTCATTGGATAATAATTACAGGGAAATATGAAGTGATGTAAGCGAACGCACCTGAAAGGGAAGATTGAAAAAAAAAATCTCATTCAACATAAAATTCTCGAAAAGGGTTATAAAACAAATAAATAATAAATAATCTCAACTTACAAAGTACTTTAATTATTTTTTCGAGATATTATTTACATCATCGTGATGTTTAGCAATCTTTTCAAGTTTTTCTTTTTGAGCTCCTTCTCTTCTCGCTTCAGCATTAACCAAATTTTCTTGTAATTTGGCCAAATTTTCTGTTTTTTGAGCATCGGAAAGTCTTCTTTGTTCTTCCGCTACTTTTTTAGCATGAGCTACTTCTTGAGCTGCTTTAGCTGCCTTTTCGTCTTCTGCCTTTTTTTTCCTTTCCTCTGCCGCTTTAAGCTTAGTCTTAAGCTTTGTTCGAAGTTCTTCATCATTTAAACTTTTTTGACTTTCCTCTTCAAGCCTTTTTTTATAGTGTTCTGGAATAGGAGCGTTGGGATTTTTTTCAAATTCTATTTCAAAAGCAATGGAAGCTTTATTTTCTTCTTCTGTACTCATATTTGTTTTTTGCTTTTTGTAGGGGAAGGCTCTTTTAATTTATTAGATTGCGTATATGAAAAAAAAGCAAGAGCAGAAGTTCTAAACAAAATTATGTAGGAAATACAGTCGGTAACAAAACAAAATCCTACCTTTATATAACCTACCAACCGAAAAATTCTTTGTGAGTAAAAAAAACACCTCCTGCAGATCCAGATCCAAAAAAGGATGAAAAGTTTCATAATTGCATCATTTACACGTGACGAAACTCCGCAGCGTTTAAAAGTGTGTACGATACGCCATATATGATATCACAGGGGAATAGTTCCTTCTCCTAGCTTTTAGGAAGAGGAAAATAAAAAAAGTGTTATTTAATTTTCAATAAAAGGTTTAAACTTCATAAAACAAATCTCCAAATTTGGTATAGAGGCGTATAGGGAAAGCCTTATTTATTTAGGTGCATATAAAATGAAATACTTTGCATGAGAAATAAAGGGTGCTTGCAATCCGATCTTCATTAGATTTTAGTGGTCTTTTTTAAATTCTCCCGTCAAATTTTGTGCTATTTTAAGGTTTAACAAATGATTCCAAATAAAAAAAAATTTTTTAATTTCCCTCTTTGAAATCAATCCGTAAAATTATCTAAATTAAAATATTAGCATTCGAAAAAAATGAACACAGAGTTATCGGGTCGTGTAGTATTGATGTAAATAATAATAATGACAAAAAATGTTTAAACTTGGTTATTTATTTATTTTTTTTCCTTAAAAAAAATAATGGTCGTTTATGTTATAAAGTACAGGTGCATCATCAGGCATTGGGGCATCCACTGCATTAGAATTTGCCAAATATAATTCTAAACTCATATCCTTCTTTGTTCGTATTAATTAATTAAAATAAAAAAATATATATTTTCTTTAACTCACGAGTTTATCACATTTTATTCGCAAGGCGCTTTGACAGGTTACAAGAATTAAAATCACAAATTTTAAAACAGTATTCCGAAACTCGAATTCACATTGATAGAGTTGACGTGCGAGATAAACAAGCAATCGATGATGCAATCGGAAAACTTCCACAAGAATTCAAAGGTATTGATGTATTAATCAACAATGTAAATATATTAATATTTTCTTTCCTTTAAAAGCTATTTCATAAAACTTGATCAAAAAATACTTTATTTATAGGCCGGGTTGGCAATTGGATTTGAACCTTTAGAAAAAAAACCACAAGAAGAAATTCAGACAGTTTTAGAAACAAACATAAATGGATTAATATATGTTATACAAGCTGTTCTCCCTGGAATGAAGGAACGTAATAGTGGTGACATAATTATGATGGGAAGTATTTCTGGTCAACAAAGTCATGGATTCGGTAATTCTATTTATGCTGCGTCGAAACATGCTGTTGAAGGAATTACAGAGTAAGTTGGAGATATATCTTTTAAAGAAAAATCAAACCTGTACTTGATAAATTTGTAATTCATCTTGAAATAGCTCATTGAGGAAAGAACTCGTTAAAACAAAAATCAGGGTTCTTATAATAAGACCAGGTAATTTATCATGTTCAAAAATATTCCTCTAATCTTACATCTTCGCTAATTAGGTACATCCCTTTCTTTTGAAAATATAGGATCTGTAAATACTGAATTCACTTTAAAAAGAAGCAGAGGCAGTTCTGAATTCTCCGAAATCTATTATTCCGGTTATGAACCACTTAATGCAAAAGACATAGGTAATTATAATTTAAAAGATAAATTAATTATTCATTTTGAACTTATTTTTGGTGATTCATCTATTTTATTTTTTCTTTTCAGCTGAATGTGTTGTGTTTGGTGCAAATCGTCCTACGAACGTTGTGATTTCAGAATTAACTGTCCTCCCAAATGCTCAAGTTGACGTTGTTACTATTCATAGAGATACTAATATTGATCTATTTGGTGCTTTGGCTGAAAAATATAGTAAAGAATAATATTTTATTAACAAAATTTCGTTATAGATTATACAAATAAAATTTTGGAACTTTTCTTGACTTATAGTATATTAAATTAATCATCATCTAATATAATTATGATTATAAATTAATTAACGGCAAATAATTCTTTTTTTTAAAAAAAAAGATAATTGTTTAATAACTTACTTTAATATAAAGTAAAATTACTCTAATATCCAAAAAAAACCAAAAAAATATAAAAACTCAAACCAAAAAAACTTTTTATATGGTAAAATTTTTATATTGTCTTTTTGTTCAAGAATGTTTCTTTTCTTTGGAAGGTTCAGAACGTTTCTTTTCTTTAGAAGTCTCTGAATGTTTCTTTTCCTTGGAAGTTTCGGGATTTTTATTTTCTTTGAAAGGTTCGGAAATATTTTTTTCTTTAAAAGATTCTGAATTATTGGAATTATCTTTAGAATTTATTACCACAAAGTGGTAAGCGAAAATTAATGCCATTACAACTCCTCCTAATGAATTGCACAAGACTGTGAGTGTCGTATCTGTAATCATTGTTTCTAGTGAAGATGTGGGGAGTGTGGAAAAAAAAGCTTTTTCATAAAAATTTACGTTACATGTCAAGTTTTGATTGGTTCATTTTTTTTTGTACAAGTATTCCGCAAAAAAATCACATGAATCACAACAAAATTTGATAGATAAGCATATATCTTTTTTTTTAAGGTATTTGTAAGTGACTTGTCTTCTCAAATTGCAATAGATCATATTTTGATACCTAAATATAGCTATGCTGTTCAACGTAGTTTTTTTAAAAAAAGTTTTTTTTTATTTAATAAAATAATATAAAATTACATAAAACATTACAAAATCACAATTTTATAAAAAATAAAGCTCAAAAATGCAAAACATATTCATTTAATTACATAAATAATTTACCTTATATCATCATTTCTAGAAAAGTAATTTATCAAGTAATTATAATATAAAATATTAAAAATAAATTACATGATATAGGAAATTTTAGAACAAATAGATTAAGAATAAAAATTTGCTTTATAATTAAAATTTTGAAAGATATAATTTCAAAAAGGTTAAGAAGCAACTTCTTAGTTTAGAAACTGCTTAATAGTTTCTAATAATTTAAAAAATACAATCATAAACATCATACAAATTAGATAAACTTTCTTAAAAATTCTCAAAGATATTAGATAATAATCTTAAAGAGCAATTTACTAATTAATATTTACAAAATAAAAAAAGTTTACATAATTTATTTGATTTTAATATTCTGAAAATTCTTGAGTAACGTACCACCTAATATTTTAACTTAAAAGCTTATAACTCATTATCTACCTATACTAAAAATATGATTTTACATTTATTTTAATTCTTAAATCTTAGAGAATAACTAATAAAATTTGAAGTGTGATTATTAATACTAGTTTTACGCAATTTTGTGATTAATATAAACATTTTATTACATAAAATTTCAGTGTTAGAAAATTTTCAGTAGGTTAACTACTAAAAAACTAATACTGGATTCTGATTTTTCTCAATGCGACAATTCCAACAAGCTAAAATTCGTCAAAATTGGATCAGTTTTTTTTTTTTTTTTAGATGTAGTAATATAATTTTATTAATTTTAAATTTAAGAAATCAAATAATACAAAGTAGAAAGACTAAAGTATTATCTATATGATTCAACATAAACAAAATTATTGTCTAGAGATATTTAAAAACCTATAAAAGACTAGATTCCTCCAAACCAGCCGTTTGTCTTGTCGAGTTTAAAAACAAATGTATAAACATAAGTTCTATCATAACTGTTTATTAAAAGAAGAAAGTTTGAAAATAAAGAAAAAATTAAAAATAACTAGCTATTACTGATCCAAGAAGAGCATCCAATCTCTGCCATGAATTATAAATGGTCTAACTAAATCAATCTAATTTGTAAAAAATAGGTTGGTTAGAAAAGAAGAGAAATTAATATATTGATTAAACGTGAATGTTGAAGAGTGATCATATTTTCTTTTTTGTTTATCAGAGATATGTAAAGCTATTTCTTTTTTCTATCATGAGTTTACATCTAGAAAGCCAAATATCATAATAAGTTCAGTTATAGAAGTACATGGTAGTGTTTGATAAAATATTAGAAGTGATTTTTTGTGAGTTTGTAATATATTGAATGTTATTAAAAAGGTTTGATGAAATAATGCCTTTGATTAAATCTATAAAGGTTAAGGAGTTATTTTTAGAGGCGATAGTCCAAAGATCATTGATGTTTAGATAGTAAATTAATGTGATAGAAGGAGTAAGATGCAGTATAGTAAGTTGATGTAGTAGGAAAATTTTGGTATAATCCATAATATCCATCATGATTGATAAGCTAGCAGTATATAGCCAAATATGATCAAAAGTTTCATTTTCTATAGCACAGCGATAACATTTCTATGAATTATGATAAATGTGTTTTTGTGTAAATTTTAAAATTCTACTATAAGAAGTTATTCAGTTAAGTATTTGATTCTTTGGCTGAGTTGTTTTGAGTTATCAAATGTGATCGCATTTGATTCTTGATGTCCTTTTAAATTAGTAAAAGTACCAAGCCAGTTTATATGAAAATATTTGTATTTGAAATTTTTTTTTAAGTAAAAAAAGTCAATGAATCCTTAAGTTATTGCATAAAAGATCAAACTGGATTATTAATTATGAGATTCTAATATTTAGAAAGATATTTGGCATGAGGAGTATCATTGAAAATTAATTCTATTAGGATATCAAATAAAGCATCTTTGGCAAGAATATCGATATATTCATTCCATTTGATTTCTAAATAAGCTTTGACTTTTACAAATTTCACTTATAAGGGTTTAATATCTATTAAAAAGAAAATGTAAGACTAAAGATGAGAACTGTAATTAATATGTTGCAACTTTTAATGTTGAAACTTACATTGCAATTAGTTTTAACCTATATATATTGCAACTTATAATGTTACAACATATGTTGCAACTAATTTTAGCTTATGTTGCAACATTTTGTAAATTTGAAATCAATTGCTATACCATCTTTATGTAAGATCAATAAATATAGAAAGAGATTTTAAAAAGAAGAGTAGAGTAATTCAAAATGTTTTGTTTTTTGATTTTTTTATAAGTTTGAATTGAAAAAAAACTATTTGTATAAATTATAATATTAGAATATAAGGGAGACAAAAGTATGACTAAAAGAATAGCCATAATTTTAGCATAGAATGAATTGAACCAAATGAGAATAATAGCAGTTGAGAAAGAAAATTCTAAATTATCGTTTATAATAAAAGCTAATGCTAAACTAAGATTAGTAGACAAATTATCAGAATTATACATATGAGAACCATCTGTATAAAATTTTAAGGTTTGGGGGCTATTTAAATGTGTTAGATAAAGTTGTTATTGAAGGTGTAATAGATGTTGATATATAGAATGATTAACAATCAATTTTTTTTAGAAAATTTGTATTATAAGAAAAATTTCTAGAGAATTCTATAGTCGGTGGTGAAGAGTTATTAATGTTGTAAAACTCATTATGAAGAAAAAGAGATTGATCAGAAAGTGTGAACAAAGAAGTCCTAATTAAATAAATTTGATCTATTAATCTTGTATTTGTTCCTTTTAGGCTGTTTACGTCAATTATATTTAGTAAACTGCAATTATATAAAAAGCACATTTGAGATCTGAGGTATTTGATAATTTGAAATCTAGTTTATCATTATCTGAATTATGGTGACAACCAGAACATACTGTATAAGTATGTTGCTTTTTTGAAGGAAAACAGGGATCTTGCAATAAATTCTGTCTATTAAAATGATAAAAAGAGCAAAGTGTAATTAAGCAAAGATTTTAATTGAACATCCAATAATTATTTGTTGATAAGTATTATTCCAGAAAGTAGTCCAATTTATCCTTTTTTGATTCTAGTCTGAAGTAGAAATAACAATTTCAGATAAATGTAAAATATTAAATGCAAATTGTAATAAAAGTCTATTAGTATAAATAGGATTTTTGACAATTTTCTATTATAATCTGAGATACCAATTTGGAAGTTTGCTTATTTAAGAAAGAGATCCAAAGGTCTTATGTTTGAGGTCGCTGTATGATATAAGATAAAGGACTTTACCAACTATTAATTGTTCAAAAAATATAATGTGACAAAGAATTAAAGTTTTCAGATCCTGACTATTAATAAAAATAATACTATACAAATGAGCTTGACTCCCTTTAATACAAAATAAGTTATTTGTCAGCTGAGTAAAATTAATATTCAAATGCTGTAAATTATTTAAAAGAGCTTCTAAAAAGCTGGAGTTCTTTGTAAAGAATTTGATAAGTTCCAAGAGATAAGTAGATTGTTGTGTAAATGATGTTGAAATTGAATTTGTCTAAGACAAATTCTGAAGGTAGTAGCTATAAGATTATTTTGGTTAATCAGTTTGGTGAAGTGGTCATATAGGGCCTTTGCAATAGAAAAGGAGGAAACTGCTGAAAAAATAAAAAATGAATTAATGCTGAATTTGAACATATTTCAGCCTAAAAATCATATTTGATATATAAAAGTAAAATTGATTTTTCTCAGCAGTTTCCTCCTTTTCTATTACAAAGGTCCTATATTTTGCCTGCGTTTGAACATCATAAAAAACATGAACCTGTAAAACTACAAATTTTGAAGAGTCTTATCATTTCTGAAAATATAAATAAACTTTAAATAAGTTTGACTTTTTAGTTAAAGATTTAATTATAGATAATAAAAGATTGTTGATATTTACAACTTCTGATAATATTAATTATTTAGCATAATCATCTATTTAGATTATAGATAGGATCTTTAAAACTATTTCAAATATATTCAAACAATTATACATAATTCATAAGCATATTAGAAATGATAATTTAAGGATTATGATTTTTGTATTTGTTTTAATGTTTAGCAAATCTGATAAATATTACAAAAAATTATTTGAGAATTTAGTTGAATTTAATGATGAGTATAATATTAATTTACAACTGATTATCTTAACAGATTTTGAAAAAGCTACAATTAATACAATTGGTAAAAAATTCCATAAAATTTAAAATAAAGGATGTCATTTTCATTTATCTCAAAACATTTAAGCTTTTGACCTTAGTATTTTATGTAAAACTGATGAAAATTTTAGTTTGTTAATTAAATATATTTCTACTTTAGCTTTTTTACTTTCAGATGAAATTTCTATAACATTTGATAAATTAAGAGCTAATAACTAGTAGAAATAAATAATTTTATGAAATAGTTTAAAATTTATTATATTCATAATAAAGTAAAATATACAATATAAAGCAAAAATGTTATTTAATTAGAACTATTATTTTTTCTTTTACTTTAATCAGTTATTAATTATATTAAATATACATTTTTTCAAACTTAAAATTCTGTTGAAGTTTAGTATAGAAGATAAGAAATATTAGTAGGTCATGCAAATATAAATATATTTAAAATTATAAAAGATATACAAAATGAGTAAAATCAAGTTTGTGAGAAATAATATAATCTTAATAAAGAAGAAAAGACTGTGAAAATGAAAATCAAATTTAAGCGATATATAATAATTGATAAAACTAATCACTTATGAAATTTCTTTGAAGAATTATTTATAATCTTTCATTTTAGATAGTTTATAGTAAATTTAATTTTTAAACTAAATATGATGATTTTGCAATTATTTTATTATTATCAGTTATTCTTACTTAAACTAGTTTCTTCTAATATTTTTAGATTGAAATAAGATTCAGTATTATTAATCAAAAATAATATTTTCAATTCATTATATGAAATAATTATCAAGATAATTAAGCTATTTAATGAAAATATCTGATCCTATCTATACTTTTAAATTAGCATGATAAGTTTTAGAAAAAGCTGATTTGTTAAAATTTCTAAAGTATTAATAATTCCCTATAAATAATCAGTATAAGGAAAGTATACAGAAATAATACGTTTAAAAAATGTAGAAAAAACGTAGAAAAACAGTATAATAAATTTGTAAATAATTCTGTATACAAGATACTGAAAATCGTCTTTTTCCGTATGCAAAAAAATACGGAATTTATATGTCTAATCAGTATAATGTATACGTAATTTTTGTTAAATTTTATACGTCAAATCAGTATATTGTATACGTTATTTTTG